GTTTTTGGCAGTATATTATCATTTTCGAAGGTTCATACAGGAGTTATACACTCATGATTCTCTGGGAAGGATTATGACACCTCTTTATGACGACCCTTCACTCATTATGACTGTATAGGTCATACCTGCATGGCCAGTGGTTTATGTTTTAGTCCTCGATGTGAAGGCTACCTTCGTGGTTACTGTAGATAATCCACTAAATTGCTGGCTCATTTGGGTTGCCATCATCATCATAGCTTTCCAGTCTGAAATCGTCTTGGAGGCTGCCCGCCTTCACCTTCTAGGGACCTGATTGTCCCCTCAGGATGTATCCAGTGCTGGGTAGCTATTCATCAGCTTTCGGATGTAATTGTTCTCCTTCGAAGGTTGGAATACATCTGATGTTGTCTGGATGTTCCAGCTCCTGTGACTTCACCAGTCTCTTTGCTCAGGAAGAAGTTCTGCGCATTCTCCAGAAGCTTGATGGGTCCATTTTTTGGTAGAACAGGATTCACTGGAACACTATATCAGGTCTAGAACACTGGCTAGTTGAAAAAGAGAGATTAGCTGTAACTTGACCTTAAATACTAAAAGTTTAAATTCAAATGAAAACGTTGACCAATACCAAGTTCTAATTAGTCAAAAGTTCAGTCAAGTGGACAGGTTAAAAGAAAGTTGCAATGATCAGTTAAATTATGAACTAGATAATAGTCGAACAACATAATTACAGGTTTAACATGTACTCATGCCCATTATCGCTTTTAGAACATGTCTCCAAAGAAGTCGAGGACTCTTGATCTTAGTTTAATTGGGTTTGCATTTGTCCAGTTAACTGTAGCCAGGTTGCTCCCTGTTACCCCTGCGGGACAACTAGAACACACACACACCATACCCTAGGACCCAGTCTCATCTCTAATTCACCACTTGGTTGTCACGTAGACAGACATGAATGTGCTAGAGTCCTATACAGTCGAGCTGACTCAGGTTAGGTGCATCAAATCCAACCTTTGACTGTTAGCCTTTGTCAATACTTTCATTAGGAACTTTCTTCCACTTACAAATTGTGTAACAGTTATGGTAAAGTATTACAAGGTTTTATTGTGTGGGTAATATCTTTTGCCTCCTTGTATTACACTTACAGTTAGCATTTTCATGTTTCAAAGCTGTATTTTATAATATAACAACGTTAAGAAAATATTCAATAAAACTATTTGCTTATGACTGAAAATATTCCTATCACAACCAAACAAAACACTTGGTACAGCATCTAAGCTATTATTTGTAAATTTCATGTCAGTTTCACCCACTCATTAATATTTCAACTTGATCACTTAAATCATATTTGTACTATACTTAAGAGAAACTACAGGTAAAACTCTGTGTTCTTTGTTACTATTACCACTTCCATGAAAAATCCATATACCTGCACAATATTGTAACGTCGAAATTGAAACACTCTCTGAGCTTTGATGAAAAAAACAGTTAACCTGTAACTCCCAATAGTCCTTTCCAGGTTATTCAGGTAACCTCATATTTATCAATTCCTAACATCTAGATCACAATCATTTATCTCCAAACTCCCATGCTTTCTTTCTGTTTCCTCATTTTCTTATTATTCGTTACCATTCTTAGCGTGTGATTGCTTCATTTCCTTTAGTTTATTTAAAACATCTGTGAAGGGCTCTGTGTAATGTTTTCAACACGCAAGTGTTTGTTAACATACCTATATTGCCACATATACACACGGTACTCTAGTAGTTTATACTCCAACTGCCACACGAACAACTTCAGTAACGTCTAGGTTACTTGCCAAAGTTACAGCAGTGTTATTTATGGGCCGTCAATCTCATCTAATGTTTATTTTTGGCTTCTCGCAATAAATAATCAATACTGGCATATCGCATTAACATATACCCAAAAAACACGAAGTGTTTGAAAGTAAGTGTGCATGATGAATTTCTAAAAATATTGAAGATAATATGATTTTAAACATAACAACTATTTCTGAAAAACGCCGCCAAGTTCGTCAAATGGGTGTTTGAATCAGCTGTAAAAGAAAACATTGCGCTTTAGAAGTTTGTTTGCTTATTTGTTTTGAATTTCGCGCTAAGCTACACGAGGGCTATCTGCGCTAGCCTTCCCTAATTTAGCAGTGTAAGACTAGAGGGAAGGCAGCTAGTCATCACCACTCACCGCCAACTCTTGGGCTACTCTTTTACCAACGAATAGTGGGATTGACCGTCATTTTATAACACCCCCACGGCTGAAAGGGCGAACATGTTTGGTGGGACGAGGATTCGAACTCGCGACCTGCAGATTGCGGTTGAGTTCCCTAACCACCTGCCATGCCGGGTCGCTTTAGAAGTTACAAAGTTTACTGCCCCCCAGTGGCCCAGCGGTATGTCTACGGATTTACGACGCTAGAAACCGGGTTTCGATACCCGTGGTGAGCAGAGCACAGATAGCCCATTGTGTAGCTTTGTGCATAAATTCAAAAACAAACAAACAAAGTTTACTTTAATAACTTACTTGGAATGATCAAAATTTACTAATGTTGTTGAATAATAATAATACATGATATGAAAATTAAGTAGAATTGGGAAAAAACAAAACATACACAGGTTTAACGTTTTATCAAGTAAATAAATAAATAAGTTATATGTATTATGATTTGTGGCAACACGAACAGTCTCGAAAAATATCAGAAGATATACATTTATGCTACCTTTTAGAGTGTTTTTCTTAACATGAGCTATTGCGAAAATAAATCACTATAATGTCTTAAATGTTTTATATTATCAAGTAAGATGTTTTTTACTATAAGTACACCACCTTTACTATAATGTTTTGCGTATGCATTTACACTTATTTTCTTACATTGTCATAAATATATATATATGCATTTAGTAATTTATATTCGTTGTTATATTGGTATTAATCATAACATGACAACCTATTTCGACAACCCACTATGATTTTTCTTCTTCTTTTAAGTAGTTGACTTGGAACAAATGTAGAAAGAAAACAGTAAGAACTTTGTGTTACACAAGTCTGTGAAATGTGACCAAAACTTTGCATTTAACTAAATTAATTGTTCACCCCACCCCAATGAGAACTTCCAAATTACTATGAGTTCTGAAAATAGGAAATACTTTCCCGCGAAACAAACAAACCTAACATGGGGGAATAAAATACAGAGTGATCCAATAGTGGAATAATAAAGATTTGTTTTTATTGGAGATACTATTACTAGTTCAAAGATATTTTTTTTTATATATATATCCATACGTCTACCTGGTGGTATTGAACTGTAAAGTGATCGGGGATTCGTCATAAATCATATGAATATGAGCTAAACATGTCGCCTGTGGCGCCACAACATACAACTGCAACTACATGCTGCTGAATTAGCAGACAGATCGTTAAGATAAAGTGCGATGACCCCTCTTTAAACAAAAATATTACCGACTGCAGAGCTCTAATCGAAATACTTGTTTCTTTTGACGTCTTGTGAAGCCATTATTCTATGTCCACAGGGGAGGTGAACTGCCTTAGCGAATGTTTGTTTGTTATGGATTTCGCGCAAAGCTACACGAGGGCTATCTGCGCTAGCCGTCCCTAATTTAGCAGTGTAAGACTAGAGGGAAGGTAGCTAGTCATCACCACCCACCGCCAACTCTTGGGCTACTCTTTTAACAACGAACTGTGGGATTGACCGTCGCATTATAACGCCCCCATGGCTGAAAGGGCGAGCATGTTTGGTGTAAGAAGGATTCGAACCCGCGACCCGCAAATTGCGAGTCGAGCAATCTAACCACCTGGCCATGCCGGGCCCTTAGCGAATGTCGAGAAATCTTGCAGAATTTTATGTAAGCATCTGCCTAATTTATTGTTTTTTTTATCAAACATTTATAAACTATGCTGTTATTTATTTTGTTTTAGAAAACCAAATTTAGTCCCCATCGTTAAATAACATATGTATCTCAGAAATAGGTTACGAGAAGTCTACGAATTTGAGTAATTTCTAAATTATCAATTTTAGGAAAATATTTTCAAAATCTTCTGAGCATAGTTCGATTAATGTTTGAAAGATACTAGCCCTGATTTAATTTTTTGTTGCTGTACAATTTTCTTATGATTGTAAGAATCTTGAGTTTATTTAAAACATTTTAATGTGGATAACGATACAACTGCTTTCATTTAATAACAACCAGTTTATCTCGTTGAAAGGTGTTTTCATTGTTACTTTGTTTCCAAGAAACAACAACACACGTTTTCCTTGAAAAGCTAGTTAGAAATTTCGACATAAGTTGAATTGGATTCGATAGCGGTGAATTCCCAGGACATTTCAATAGAATTGAGCTTTGCTTTCTTTGTTTGTTTTTTGGATTTCGCGCAAAGCGACACGAGGGCTATCTCCGCTAGCCGTCCCTAATTTAGCAGTGTAAGACTCTAGGGAAGGCAGCTAGTCATCACCACCCACCGTCAACTATTGGGCGACTCTTTTACCAACGAATAGTGGGATTGACCGTCACATTATAACGCTCCCACGGCTGAAAGGGCAAGCATGTTCGGTGTGACGGGGATTCGAACCCGCGACCCTCAGATTGCGAGTCAAGCGCCTTAACTACCTGTCCATGCCGGGCCGAGCTTTGCTTTCTGATTTTTTTTTTTTTTTAAATTAGGATGTATCTCGGAATCTATCCTATAAAATTTAAATAGTGTTGTTATTCTATATGCTGGTAACAAGTGTTACAGCCGAGATATAAGTGTTACGTGTTGAAAACTGCCATGTGTTATCTTACATTAGCAAGAAATAAAATATTTATCTTTATTCAAATGTTCAGGAATATATCTCAAAATTATTCATGCATGCGCGTTGGACTGGATTAACTGGCAACTATTTCGATGAAATTAAAGAATGCGTTGTCATTTAGATAACATACTAGTAAACAGGATGTAAGTAGTCGTGAACTTGCTTGAATCATCACCTCAGGTCACGATCACATGACACAGCTGCCAATAAACATTAGTTGAACTCACCTAACTAGACTCATGTATCACAATAGCGTTCAATGAAAATTATCACTGACAAGATAATGTAGGATTCTGTGATAACGCATTATGATTTAAATATATAACTCAAAAGTGCAGTGTGTTTAGCGTTAGGTCAAAACCTTTTGTTTCTGCTATAGCAACCAGAATTTGTTTCAAAAAAACAACAACAATAACAAAGAGTCGGCCAAAGAACTAACTGTAACAAAAGGGAAAATCGGTAATTCAGTATGAGTTAGACATTTGGGCAAGATCCATTATTTATCATAAATCTAGGCAAATGATAACTCAAAGGTTTGTTTGTTAAAACATTTTCGGCAAAAAAAAAAAAAACTTCATGAATCCAGATGGAAAGGAAGTTGTGATAACAACCAGGACAGATCCTGTCCTACGTCAGAGTGTGGTATAATGAAGGCTGACGTAGTATAGCTATAAAAGAAAGACCAAACATTCCTGTCTAGCAGAATTTAAGAATCGACTTAGATACAAAGTAGTCACGTGACTAATACAGCACAGAGCGTCAGAGAACCAACTTTCAATACCAGAATAATGATTCTCGTGTTCAAATCTATGCGCTTAATGTTGTTATTGTCCCTAGCAAGTTTTCTTTGTGCCGAAGAATACAGGAAATGCCACTCTCCATTTTGCCCAACTAACATTTGTAAGGAAAGAAATAGTAAGTTTGTTAATTTTAAAGTTCGCTATATATGTGTTCAGCGCCATTATATATTTTCCCTTTCTAATTAATGAATAGGTGACCGTATTTTACTTTAGTTTTTATCTATTATTATCCTATGACATTTTTATACTGTTACTACACTCGAGAGTGTCGTGTTAACATAGCTCAACACAATAAGTTTTTAAAGTAAAATTATTTACTGAGTAACAATAAAAATATACATTTGATAGAAATTGTGGAGTCTTTTGTTGTCAATTAATTCCGAATTAAATATGGCTATTATTTCATATTATATAAAGTTGTTAACAAGAGTAACAAACAAAGTTTTCAGAGTCTGAGCACATGGTTAAATCATTTATGCTCAGAAATGTTTATTATTAATTACCACACACGAGCTAATCTGTTATTTTTTAAGGAAAGTAAAAAAGGCTTTTGACAGTTTTAAATGATTAATAAATTTCCTAATCCAATATATATATATATATACATACAATGTAGTACTATATCTTTTCATGACTACCCCCAGTGTGTGAGCGATAAGTTTATAGATTTACAAATCTAAAAACCGAGGTTCGATTACCTGTTTTGGACAAAACGCAGCTAGTTTATTGTGTAGGTTTGCGCTAAAACAAGCAAACCTATATTTTTAGTCCTTTATTCATTTCGATTTCTTAGCACTATTACCTAAGCAAAAGTCTAAAAATCCGATGGTGAGATTTTTGCAAGACAGTCCTCTGGTGCCTCAGCAGTAAGTCTGAGGGCTCATAACGCCAAAAACCGAATTCGATACTCTAGATGTACAGAGCACAGATTGCTAATTGTGTAACTTTATACTTAACAATCTTGCAAGGCAATTATATATACTACCCAAATTCCTATATTTACATAATTTACACTCTTTTGAAACAGTTCTTTATTAGTAGCGCCACTTGTTCAAACAAAATATATATGTATTTTTTAAATTTATAATGCCGTATCTAATTCTATAAGTAAATATTGGATTTGACTTAGAAAACAACAACAATAAATATAAATTAACATTACTAATATTTTTTCTTTATTTACAGAACTATTTTGTCCATTTGGAATACAGATGATCTGCTCTGATTTGATAGGACAAACGACAGAACATAACCAATGTTCCAGTAACAGTGATTGTCCATGTCCAAAGATTTGCTGTAGTGCCGGCGAAGGGTGTCCATATCGTTGTTACAATGGGCTAACTTTACCTCCACCGTGATCATCACTGTCGTTTTTAATACTTATAGAAATGTTTACAGAAATGTAGCTTTACTTTTGCTTTATTTTTTCCTTATTTGTTTAATTAAATGTAACACACAAAGATTATTCAATGAGTTTTCACTACATGCACTACAGAGTAACTCAATAGTAAATTTTAATAAGAAATTCGCGCAAATAAACTGTTTTTACTCGAAGATGAAGTTGCTATAATGTAATATTACTTCTGTTTAACTATAAAGTATTAAAAAACAACACATGCTTGCTTCTATAACATAATTTTTGCTTATCATATTTGGTATATAAATACACGTGTTTACTTCAGCTTTGATGACAAGGAAAGCCACTTTCAGACAATAAAGTTTGTAGACGGCTTGAATGGGTTATAAAGAAAACTATTACAAGTTTAACAAGGTAACAAATGTACAACGTTTCGATAAAGATTTGTACCTGATGATGACAAAACCTTGTAGAAATGTTTGTACATATGTTAGTTGGTTAAACTTGTAATAGTTTTCTTCATTACCCATTCAAGCCGTCTTCAAACTTTGCATAATTACTTCAATGACAATTTTGTAATTGTAATTTCAACTCCTTAATAAATGAATATTGTTGAGTCACGAAGAATTTCATTATAAAATTTATGTTCAACACGTAACTTGTTTTATGTCAGTTCCAAATTGCAGCTTTTGTAATTTTTGTATCGATACTAATAAATCTTTAGCAACCATCCTTAATTGTGACGATTTTTTCAGAATATTTGCGCAAAACAATCCTAAGCCTATCCATCTACATATATAGCCACCCATAATTGTTAACTGATAGACTAGGGGGTTTGATTGTTTGTTATGAATTTCGCGCAAAGCAACACGAGGGCTATCTGCGCTAGCCGTCCCTAATTTAGCACTGTAAGGCTAGAGAGAAGGCAGCTAGTCATCACCATCCACCGCCAACTCTTGAGCTACTCTTTTACCAACGAATAGTGGGATTGACCGTCACATTATAACGCCCCCACGGCTGAAAGGGCGAGCATCTTCGCTGGTGGGATTCGAACTCGCGACCCACATATTGCGAGTCGAGCGCCATGCCGGGCCTAGACTGGAGGGAAGGCAGCTAGTTATCTGCACCCATCGCCAACTATAGGACTGCTATTGGCTGACCAAAAGAGTGGAATCTGACCATTGCTGTTTATCGACCCACGACCCCAAAGTATGAAGCACATTTTTATCTGCAACGGGCCGCTATCAGTGACCTTCAGGTTCACAGTACAGGAAACTAAACCCTGGAGCACGCCCGGTCAAGTGATGGTGTGATATACTTATTGTACATAGTAATTACTTCCACCTATCAACAAAAAAGACAGCTAAGGCCGGGACACATTTACACACAGGCAGAGTACATAGCTGCCTCGGTCGGCAAATTTACGAAACATCGAACGAAAGCGGCAACAAAAATTTATACATAAGCCGAGGGAGAAACAATACCCACGAAGCGGAAGGAACAGGTCTAAATTGCATCTGACCCTCCCAGGTCCAAACAAGGACCTAAATCCTGATGAAGCAGAAACAAACACAAAGTTAATGAATAATGTTTTTATTTAATTTTGTAATGTGGAGGCGCCGAACCAGATCCAGAAACCAATCGAGAGCGCTGAACAATCATGTGACTGATCACGTGATTAATGACGTAACTAATAATATATATAGGCTTTACGCTTGGAGACAGCTTAAATGGTAATGAAGAAAAAGCTTAAATATAAGTTTATCTTCATTACCCATTCAAGCCATCTCTAAGCATTATTAGTCTCAAAGTGGGTTCCTCGTCATCGAATATAGGTTTTATTTCTGAAACGATTATGTGGAGTGGGGGTGGCAAACAATATCTGCCTAGGGCGGCACTATACTTTAATGCGGGCCTGGCTAAGGCTGTTTTTACTTCTAGAAGATGGGTTGTTTGAACGTATCTGCTTTATAAGTTAGTTAGAGAGCTTTAGCTACTGTTTTTTTTTTATTATTTAAACAAATTAACTGTTGATGGGTTTATGTTTACTTATTGTAGTACACATTGGTTTTATTTTTCTGGTAAAGATAACAGCTTGGATTTTTACTGATTCGATAATAATTGATATTCTGGAAAAAAACGTAATGAGGTGTATAAAGAAAAGCTTTTAAAACTGTATAGTTCATACAAAATACACACAATATAAGCCTTTAAACCGTTATTCTAAGAGCTTGAACATTTGATCTGAACGGGTTAAATATTTCCTCTCGCAAAAATAAACCGTTGGGGATATCCAAATAACACTCATTTAATTTGGAATAAAAGTTCCCGGATTTACAATATTTAAGTCCTCGGTTTGATTCTCCGCAGTGGACAGACCACAACTTGCAAATTGTATAGCTTTGCGGTGAAAAACCCTACAACAACAACTTTGAATAACAGAAACCTGAACACACATAATGAGTTAAAGGACAGCACTCTTCGAAATTTTGAGCAGCAGAAACAAATAAAAAAAATACGACATGAAGTACATAATTTAGTTAAGTGTGAAATGCAGATATTAACTAATTTAGTTCAAGTTAGTTTCTTAAGCTCCAACATCTTTTACGCAAAATGGCTAAATAATAATCTTAAGGGCTTATAATGCTACAATTTCATATTTGATTCCTATAGTGGGCACAGTGTAAATATCCCATTGTACAGCTTTGCTCTTAAAAGCAGGTGACAGTTTATTTCTTAATAACATTGTCCAGTCTATGAATTAATAAAGTTCAACCTTACTTTACAATTGGCGTGTGTTATCAATTTTGTTGTTGAAGTGCTCAAAACCAGTTTTATACTTTCAACATTTTATATTTCACATTTAATGCACTGTTCTGTCGCTGAATCCAAAAGATAAAGAGCAAACTGTGTGTTGAGCACTAATGATTTTTTCCTTAGCTTTCGAAGAGCAACACATGTGTATGGATATGTTAATCTTGCATGATTAAAAAAAATAAGATCAAAATTAGCGTTCTGTCGATAATTATATTTTTTTCATATCGTGATATAACGCTAACCATCTGGTTTACGATAATCATACAAATTAATTTAAACTGTGATGCAGTGAACTTATGATAGGTTTGATTTCATTATACCTAATATTAGTTGTATCAGGATCAAAGGTTTTTAACATAAAGCTGCTGTTTAACAGAAGTTAAGAACCGAACAGCATGTTGATAATTAACCATACGTTCTTTAACCTTTGGATAGCAGTGATTGTGGCAGAGTACAGGGTTGAACAGTTTTCTTGAAAAATAAGTTTAACTCTAACTTGTGATGGAATTACCAGACTCTTATTTAGCTGACAATAAGCTACAGTATGGTTTATCATGTAAATTACAAATAAAAAACAATAATGTAATGCACTATGAAAAGCAACATAGTAGACAGATTTCAGGATTAATTAAAGTGAACTTGTTCTATGTCCACACGAAAAATTGTACAGTTTTTGAAGAAGGTTAGTTGAAATTTGCGTTGACTGAAGTTTCCTTTGGTGAGTCAGCATTAAGTTTAAGGACTTAGAACTCTCAAACAAGGAGGGGGGGTGGAGGTTCGATTCCCCGCTGTGTACAGAGTGCACAAAAACAACAATGACTGAAGTTCTAGGTCCGTGTACGCACATTTAAAAGGTTGGCTCCATGTGTTGAACAAAGCGTTAAAAATTATCAACTAACAGTTTAATTTCCTTTAGTAAATTAGTGAAGTAATAATACATAATTATTCCAATAGATAATAATTGTTAATTTAATAATTATTAAAT